GAGTAGCCATCCCTCCCAAGGAATAGATCAGATTTTTTGCAGCTATTTTGGCCCTTGTGCCAATGACGCTTCCTCAACACAGCATCCAGACCTGTTGCACTAAGGAGGCTTCACTGAGACTTGGGGCAAAATGTTACAAAGCACCTGATCGAGACCTGGGTGTTGATCTCCTAAAGCTGAGAGGACCTGATTGCTAAGTAGGCACAGCAAATCTGGGCTACCTCTATTCCAAGAAATCGATAAAAATTCAACTGCCTTGTACTGTATTCAAAGCAAGAGGTCCCTGAGCCACCCTGAAGCAGCAGATATTTAACTGCAGGCTTTGTGGGACACAAAAGAAGTTGCTGCAAGAGAAGGGAGAAAGCACCAGGCTCTTTGGCCCAGGGATCCAAGGGAGTTGAAAGTAGATGGAAACATATTCAGCTGGATATATTAGTAAGATAGATAGAAATGACAGTCTTTATAACAAGCTATTGCTTGGTGCCTTACTTCCAAAATATTCTTCATGTTTACCTTTCTCCCCTTTTCCCCTTGTACTTGTTTCTACCTCTAATTGGAGATGTCTGCCTTCAGTAGAGTAGCTGCATTTTATCTCCCACAAGTAGATGACAGGTGATAGATGGATATGGAACTTGCTGACTTTGCCAGGATATAACATTTTATATTCATAGCATCTTCATGTACTCTTCACAAGAGCTCTTTGGTTTCCACATTTTGGGCTGCTGTAGCTCTCAACTTGGCCAAGTTAAAAAAAAAAAAGTGTTCAAAATTTAGGCAAAACTTGCACCAGCTGTCTATTTGCATTGCCTAGCCACAATATGAACTTCTAGTCTCTATGTCTTTGGAAAAATCATCTTAAATATAATGTATCCAGTATTATTTATAGTGGACTTGATTCTATTATATGGGAGGCAATCTGCCTGTAACTTTTAACAATTGTTTTTTTATTGTTGCAGTTGTTTCTTTGTTGTTGTTTCTTTTACTTTTACAGTTGTAGGGAAGACTTTTTTTTTTTTTTTTTTTAGGAACATCTCCTTATGCAGGGAATGGAAGTTCAACCTTTCCTAAAAATGATTCTTCTCCTCTTTTCCAAAATAGTCTAGGCCTTAGAAAAAATAAACTGCTTAATACATGAGTTTCAGAAACATGACAACAGATTTCTTCTCAGTAAGGGGGACAACTGAAAAACATTAAATCCTGAGACTCAGGCTGGCTTTTGTCTAAATACACAGAAGACCTCATTTTGACCAAGAATGGAATCAACCTTGATGGAAATGTCTGCAGAGCTGGTTGAGAGAGGTTTCTACTTGCATTTGAATGAACGTTGGTAGATGCCTCCATGTGAGTAGAAACTCTATGCCAAACAGCTTGTTCAAGCAAAGGTTAGTATCTTGGAAGATGTTGGCATATGCACCCCTGTTTTACTCTACTGAGATTTAACATCTATTACACCTTTTCACATGTTGTGTCAAGTGCACAATTTCCAAACCAGCATCAGAGGTTTTGTGCATCCCCCATTGCTAACAGCAAGAAGATAGTATCTTGTTATGTGCAGGATTCTAAATTCAAGTCATTGCTTTTTGAAAAATCCTTCCTAAACAAGGACAAATGGAGGGACTGCATGAGCAATAATTCAGAGATCAAATTCTTCCCCCCACACCCCAGCAATCTAGCTTCAAAAAACTCCAAAATAAAATCACAGCAGTCTTTATACAGAAGCTTTTCTGAAACTAGATAAACTTTCAATTCCATTTATCAAAGCAGCCACATTTTTCATATCAAGGCAAGTGACAAGAAAATAAAAATTGATCTAGGGAAGTTTGTTTATATCTGTAAAGTTATATTTTTAAGTAATTCACCAAACTACCATCATATATTTTTAGAGAACTGTTTATATATTTTTACTGTCATTATTACTTAGGAGGTACAGGTGGTATATAGATTGGTTAAATTCACAACTTAGCATTCAGTCCGGTGCTTCTTTACTCAAAAGCAAGCCCAACTGTTGATGATACATTCAATAGCTAACTGTTTTTGCAAAAATTTAAAATTAAGGCTGGAAGTTTAATTGTCAGTTCTAAGAAATTCCAGCCTTTGACTACATTCCTGATGTTGTAACTTTGCCATTTGATTATCTGGAGAGGAGGGGGAAAGTATCGTATGGATGGGCCAATCACTGGAAGTTTGTCTTTAAGCAATGCTTCATTAAAATTGGGGATTTTAAAATTTTATTTTGTTTTCATTTGTTTTAATGACTGTCCCAGAAATAAGTGGTTTACTCACAAGGCTGGATTTGAAAGGTTTGAGATTATATAAAAGAAACAGCACTTGGCATTTCTTTCACACAAGCTGGCAGAGGCTGTTTCCATGCTTAGAGCCCTGTAGCGTGAGATAGGCATTCCATTCCCGTTATTCACTGGAAAATAAAACTGAAGCTTCATACAGCATTTAATCTAGTACTGATTAAGCTCTGCATTATAAAGCAATGCTTTTTTTTCATGGATTCCCCTAGGACCCACTCTGTTATCTTGGTGGTGGTGGTGGTTCTGTAATCAGTTTTTCCAAGTTCCGTGTTTTGCAATGCACCCCTGAACAGGTTTATTGTATACCTTCTGTGAATTTAGCTGGACTTGTTTCCACTATTGAGAAGGTAGAGAATTGCAGTTTTGACCTACTTTAGTTGCTTCTTTACTCATTATTTTATTAGGACTGGTTTTAGTTATGCATTATGAATTGATTTGCATGGATGTCATTAGCTGGGGTTTTATTTTCAACTCTTTTTTTTTAATTCTTTGGCTGAAGGTTGGGCTATAAATATATTATATAAATTAGTACATTGCGAGAAACCATTTGGGGGCTTGCATTAAGGTGGGAGAGATAAATCACTTAAAGAATGAATTGATTGTTAAGATAAATGAGAAGGAATGGTAGAAGGAAGCATGGAACAAAAACAGTGGTGGCTGACAGATTGCAGAAGAAGACAGAAAAGGGGAGAGAATAAACTGGATGGGAATAGTTGTAATTGAACTGAATTCATCCCAGATGTCACTTTATTTTTAATTTGTTCCAAAAACATACATTGATACTCTAGGGTAAAGTAGCAGCAAAAGCAAGGTTTAACAAGTTTAACACTTATCCCAGTATAACTATACTGTGCTTTCAGCACAGGAATAATACCTTACACAAGTTTAAAGAGAATAACTATAGGGTAGTGTTAAGGTGTTGGACTAGGACTGGGGACAGTGAGATTCAAGTCTGCCCTGAGACATGGAAGCTGACTAAGAGAACTTGAGCCACTCACACTCTTTCAGCCCAACCTAACTCACAACATTCTTTTTGTGGTGAAAAATTGGAAGAGGCACCTTGATTTCCTAGGAGAAAGGTGGAATAAAACTTTAATGAACAAACACACACAGTAGGGGGTAGGTACCCTCTCATTCTACTTTCACCTGGCTCTTGGTCAAATCACTAAGCTGCTTTTGAAATGATGGATCAAGCCTCTAGCAAGCATAGGATCTCCCATAGCAGCCTGTGGCAATACAAATAGATAGTCCGGTGGTCAGAAACTGAAGGAGGACTGGAACTAAGCCAGCCATCCTCAAGTGGAATGCTTTCATGTAGGGACTTCAACTTCCAGAATTCTCATCAATACCTATACTAGCTGGTAATTCTGGAAGTTGATTTAGTTATCTGTTTGTTTGTTATCCAGGTAGGGAAGCTGAACTACACAACAGTTATGACAAAGAATCAGAATCCAAAGAAGATTAAGAATCAGAATCCAGGGCTTAGAATCATAATCCAAGAAAGGAGATAGGCAAGCACAAATCCCATTTAAAACCAAGTGTGAGTTAAAGATCAGGACTATGCAAAGTATTTGGAGGGTAACAAAGCACTTACTGCCTGGAACATCGAGATAGAGAATGAGAATGGCCACTTCAAGATCTTCATTCCATTAATTAGACTAGAAAGAAGATACTTCCAACAGGACTGCTGTTCACTGATTGCCAACCATTCTATAAACTCCCAAGCCAGTAAGTACAGGGAAGTAATTTAATTATCAGTAATTTCTTTTCTCCCCAGTTGTTTAACCAGCTCAAAGGAAAGTAGGCATTTGTTTTTCTAATCTGAGCGTACATCTTTTTCCTTCCTATGATCTCTGATTACTGCTAGAGATAATAAAGCTAAGGCTGTATAATATTTTATTGCTTAAAAATATTTTATACGGCTTCTCAAAGCAGTTTACCATAAAAATCAGGAATCCAAATAACAACAATGAATAAAAACATTATTCTTTGAAACATTAAATAAATCAACAGAATAAAATAAGAAAGCAATAGCACCAATAAAAAAGTTGAAAAGCCCAGCAGCGTTATAATAAAAAGGCCTAGGAGAATAAAAACATGCTTGCCTGGTGCCAGAAAGATAATAAAAGTAATGCCAGGCATATCTCACTGGGAAGAATTGTCCAAAAGCAATAGATAACTTCTGAAAACTTACCCTCCTGCCCCTTGAAAGGCATCTGAAACAGGACTTGTGAAGTTGATATCAAGGTAGATGTAGGAACATGCAAGAAGAGGTGCTTCTTCAGATACTGTATTTACTGGTAAAGCCTTTCATGGACATTGAATTGGGTCTGGAAATTAGGAACCAGTTCATACCACCCAGTTCTGGTCCGTTCTCTTGCTCTACCATTTTGTATTAACTGGTTTTCAACCCACCTGTAAGGACAACCTGTTGCATAATGCATTGAAGTAACCTAAGTGAGAAGTTACCATGAGGCTATCACGGTACAGCCACAAGTGACCCCAATGTCATGAAAGACTTTTCACCAGCATAGGCTGCTGTACCAGCAACAAGACAAGAAATTCTGGCTGGAGAATTCTAGGAGTTGAAGTCCACACAGCCAGCATTTCTTATCTTGTCAAGGTTGAGAAACACTGTTCTAGATCCATTTCAGTGGAGTTTAACTTAGGTTTGGGGACTAACATTTCCTTACTTACCCTGTTGATGATCTCTGTGAGGAGAGAGACATGGAGTGGAATGGAGTGGAGTACAACTTTGTTGATCTTCCCGGATCTCTCAGCATCTTTCAGTACCAACAGCCATGGTATCCTTCTGGAAGGATTGCTTTAGCTACCTGTGGGTAGAACAGTTTTAAAATGATTCTGCTCCTACTTGGATAGCCATCTCTAAAAGATGGTGCCAGGGGATTTCTGCTTGACTGTATGACATTTACAATGTTCCATATTATCCCACACACAGTTCAACATTTGTATGAAATCACTGAGTGACATCATTCAGATTTTTAGAGTGAAATGTCCTATTGGTGTCTAGATCTGTTTAGTTACAACATGCTAAGGCACATTGCCCAGGAAGGAGAAGCTGGCCATTGGCTTATTTAGATCTTCTGGATCCATTTTTTTTCCAGGAATGGTCTCACTACAATCCCCTTTAACGAAGCTTTGACCACTCTTTCTTCTAAAGAAGAATTTCTAGCCTCCTGGATTCAGTTGAACAACTTCTTTCTGCCTAACAGAAGGGGCAAGGAGGAAGAAAAATGTGGTTGGCTGAACTTTCCCAAGCACCTTGTCTGCATCATCAGGCCTTAAAAACTGAAAGTCATCTAAAGATAATTGATCAGACAGAGCCATAGATACAGTTCAATTAATTCAATTTATTTGTCCTTAAAGTCACAGCCACCTACCAAGGGTTCTAGATGATCTGTAACTGTGCTAGATTTCAAAAGGCCCCGGATTGGGGAAAAGCTCCACTGGATACAAAGAGAGGATATTTGAGAGGATACAATGCTGGAAGAGAAAAATACTTTTTTTTCCCTCTATCACTGCCATGCTACTGGCTCAGTAATGAGGTCTTATTAGTATTTGATCAGGTCCAGGATGAGTTGCAGTCAGAGTTCGCAACTTTGCTGGCTTTGAAGTGCCCCCCTAACTATAAAATGTCAGTTGATTATAGTAGAATTACAGGGAGGGGTCTCTAATAGAAGGTAAGCTAGAACTGATCCTATTATGCAGAGATTTTATAACTCAAAGAACTGTCAGTGTGGCCAAGAACTGAGTACACATACAGTGTGTGTGTGTATCTGTAAAGGTACACCTTAATCAGATAGACTCAGGAGGAGGAGAATAGTTCAAAGTAGAGATCTCAGCTTCAGTCTCTGTTATTTCAAGGTAGAGATGCTGCCAGTGCAGACAATATTGAGCAAGATGGACCAATTATCTAATTCAGATTAAGACAGATTCTTTCTATTCTAAACTCCTTTAGTAGCAGATCTCAGGAGCAGGAAAGTTTCTCTTGCTCAGCATCTGAAGTCATCTTAAATCAAGGGAGCAAAGCTTCCAGCATCTTGAGGACTGCACAAATCTTGCCAGGCATGTCGAGGCTTTATACTTCAAAAGTGGATGGTGCCAGGGGTCATTTTTGGAGATGAGAATTTTAAGAAGTAAAAGTGCCTTGTGCATCTGCAGCATTTTGCCCTTTACATCCCTAAAGCCTCAGAAACACAAACAAAAGCCTCAATTTTAAGATTGCATTCACCTTTGGTGAGACTCTGGGCAGGTCATAAAAAATGGTATTGGTAAGGTACATACATCCAGATCCTCAAGTATACTGAAGTCCTAATTTTCTGGATTTTGATTTCTTCACTTTACCTCCAGCAAAGCTGGATGTTTTGTCTCTTCTTTGCCATTTTATACATGACGTTTCCATGGAATTGGTGCAATTAGAGAGTGAAGAGAAGATGGAAGAATTACTATCTACACATCCCAGGTGGCTTTTCCCTCCTGCAGGTATAGGCCCTGAAGAAGCTTGTAGAATAGCAATTATGTGGATTTTGGAGGTAGAGGAATTGGTTGAAATGCTGTGTTTACAGCTAATTTACTTAAACCTACATTCCTGACCTTCCTATGTATTTTCCTCTGACAGCATTCCCTGTTTCTTAGTGGAAGATAAAAGACATAAGAATCATGCCACACCTGCACTACAGTTTGATCTATAACAAGCTTTATCGTAAACCACTTTAAGATTTACAGTAAGGGGGAAAGATACATAAATATATTAAATAACAATCACAAAAAGATACATAAATATATTAAATAACAATAAAGTAACCTTATCTGTTATTGGAAAGCTAGTGAAGAATGCTTTTAGAATGGCATGGGAGCAGTCTTTTGACATTAATTTCAAAATAGAAGCAGGCATCATATTTGCAGAAAACATCAAAGGTTTAGATTATTGCTAACACTGGTGGAAGAGGACCAAGGTGGGTGTTCTGGGGGAATATATGGGGCATCATTGCTCCAATGGATCCAAAGCCACCTTGGTTTCCCAAATGTCTCAGAATTAGGTTGTGAAAATGCACCATTTTGGAGCTGGTTTAGCTAAATTCTCTCCCAATAGTTCTCATGTAAGTGGAAGAAGAGGAGGAGGAGGATGAAGAAATAATTTCTAGGCAAACAATGGGAATAAAATCAATTCCTATGCTGTCTTTAGTCAACAGGCAGGAGTTTAGAAGCAATCCACTGCCTATCATGAACTCTTCCTCCTCCCTCCCTCCAGGTTTTCTTGTTAAAAAATCAGAATTGCTCTGAATCCCATGTATTTATTTGTTTGCACTTGTATACCATTTTTTTTTGACAATGCACTCAAGTCAATGTACAGTTTAAAATAATGCCATAGTAATGAATAAACACAATCCAAAATTGAAAGGAAGAGGACCGCAGGTACTCCCTGGGTTAAAAAGGCCTGTTTAAGGATGACCCATAGTTAAAAACAGAGCCTATTGTAGTAACATTCAAGTTAAATACACTGTGATTTGAGTTAAATACACAATGGTTCAGGTTCATTACACAATACTACTTATACAGTATTATACACTAATATTGTTCTGGCTTACATACACATTCGACTTAAGAACAGACCTTGGGAATAAAACTTGTTCTTAAAGTGGGGACTACCTGTATAGCAACAAATTCCATAGCAATTTTACACAGTATGGTCCTTCCAATTGATTGCATCTGAAAGACCAGTAACATTGTTATGACAATTACTTCATCATCACAAATTGTATCAATTACAACATCGTATAGGCTACCTTCTTCCCATTCACACTTCAGACCACAGGTCTTCTACCTTGCAGTTGTCTCTGCCTGAGTAAGAACTACAACTGTAAAATGTAGTAAATGGCCCCATTTTAGCTCCTTTTCTATCTGCTGTATTTGCTATTGGAAGTCAGAATTATAGGAAGGAAAAAAAAAGAAGAAAGAAAATGAAAAGCAGATCTACTGCTCTCAATAGCAGCTCTTTTCTCAGGTTTGGTACATTTCCTTTTTCTGAAATCTATTCTATATTCCTGGTGAATTTCATCATAACAATACATGAACAGATTTGTTATACAATTAGCAGTTCATGTAATGAGAAAACTGTTTTTGTATGTGATAGATTACTACACAGCATGAGCCCTTTTTAATACTGGTGCCAATCCTATGGAATACCCTTCCCAAGGAAAGCAATTTTGCCACCATCGCTTTTCAATCATCTGATTAAGATTTGAGATGAAATTCTCGGTTTCCTTTTCATGCTGCCTTGATAGTAACAGCTCTGGACTGATGCACTGAGAGTTGTTCCCCCCCCCCCATTTTGCTTTCTTACTAATGCTGTAGTCTAACACAGTATTCTTCAACCTTGGCAGCTTGAAGATGTGTGGACTTCAAGCTGCCAAGGTTGAGGAACACTGGTCTAACATACACACTCTTTTTTAAATTGTATTTTCTGACTATACTTCATTATTTATTTATTTATTTATTTAAAGTAGGATTTAATTGTTAAAAGAAAATATATTTCCTAAAACATACATACATATGCACCCATTATGCTATTCCCTTTTGGGAGAAGCAGCGTTATGCAGAGTGCAGAAAAGGAGTAAGAAATAGGAAGTCAATGAAATTAAATACATGTAATAAAAAAAGAAAAGAAAACATAGCTAAACTAATTGTACACCAAAACCATTCATTATACCTCCCCATAACTTTCTATTTCTGCAAACCATCTTCACTTCCATCACATATATAAGTTGTTTCATACATTACCTGTTGTTCTTTAAGTGTCTCACCTCTCTCTTTTTCAGGATCTCATCAAACCATGATTTTCTTCCCCTTCCTCTCAGCTGATTCGGTCCACTTCCTATTCCAGGGTGTCAAAAAATTCAAGCCTGTGGTCCCAACATTGCAACTGAAGCCCTGCATTTAAGATGTGGGACTTCAGTCTTGCAGTCATGGCTGCCATCTTGATCTTTTGTTTCCTTCCCCCCTCCTCCTGCAGATGCCCCTCTCCTATTCTGAAAAATTCTGGCAAATTACTCATGAACCCCAGAATGGCTGGATAGGTACATCAGAATGGAAACCAGAGTTTTGCACATCCTATAGTGTAAACTCTAGAAAAGAGTTTACCTCATAGTTTATGGAATACTTCCCACCACCTTTACCAAAAATGGCCATAAGAAGTATCCATAACTTCTGTATAACTAAGTACTGTGTTTGTGTATATGTATGTGTATGTATACTTTCTCCCTTGTAATTAATCAGAATGTGCACATGCGTTGCCCGCATATGTATATGTGTACATCCAGGTCTATTAGTGTGAATGCATATGTGCATGTGCTTCTGCTCTTCCTTCATGTTGCATCTGTGTGAGCTTGTAAAGTATATGTGCATTGGGACTTCATATCCTCCTCACCTGATCATGTGATCAGGGGAAGAATGGCTTAGAATGGAGGAATCAGTAGCATACTGGTTCCATCCAATTCCCATAAGGATACTTTTTTTCTGGATTTCTTCTTCTGCTCCCTCAATCCACACCGGGCCCATTTTTAACTGGATCTTTCTTTTGCCAGCTTCTTCTGCCCCACCAAACCTGGATTCATTCTCTTCTGTTTTCAAAGAATTATTCTGCTAAAAGACAGATGGTCAGAGTCCTGACCATTTTTACATAATTTATTTCCAACGTTCTGTTGGGTTGGAAAGAACAGTAATAATTTAAAAAACCAACCTCACAATTTTAAGTCTGGATTTTTATTTCTCTTTCTCACTCTGTGTGTTTTAACACTGCTGTCATCTGCCTGTT